CTGAACCTGGGAAGGACAGAACGCTAGTATGAATCCCTGCATAATTGTGCAGAAGTGAACGTGAAAGTTGAGGTTGGTGGCTACACGGAGGTGCCCAGAGCAGAAAGTTAGGAGAGAAATAAACTCTAGAGGCAGAAACTCAGCTGGGAGTATACAGTCTCTCTCTCTCTCTTTTTTCCTTTTCCTCTTCTCTGGCGCAGTATATCGAGTCTCCGGATGTAGAGAAAGAAGTCAAGCGCCTTCTCAGCACAGATGCCGAAGCCGTCAGTGTCCGTATCCTTTCCCTCCCCTGTTAAGATTTGCTTTGAAATGAATACAGGTAGTCCTCGCATTAAGACCCCAATGGAGCCCCCGGATTTCCATTAGTTGTTCAGTGAGTTTGGCCCCACTTCCCAACCGTTTTTTTTTTGCCACCATTGTTAAGCAGATCACGGAAGTTGTTAAGTGAATCATGTGATCGTTAAGTACGGGTGTGTGTGTGTCAAACTCGATTTCGTTGAGGGCCACATCAGGGTTGTGTTTAACCTTGGGGGGGGGGGCTGTCAGCATTCCAGCAAACCTCCATTCCAGCCAATAACTGAGACAGACATCCTCTCAAAAGTTCCTTTTTTATTTGGATAGTAACTGGCACAACTGGGGAATCCCGAATCTGAAAGTTCCGGACTTCCTTACAATAAGTAAAAATTACAAAATCCATCCCCTGCGCCCATCATCGCATCACATGCCCCAATCTCCATCCGTCCCAAGTTAAGCTTTTAAAAGAATGATGTTATGTCTTAACTAGATATACTATTAAATGGACTTTTCCTTAATTTGACCGTGCCTGAATTCAGGCTGGGAAGTGATTGCCGAAGATGAAACAAAGGAAGCCGAGAATCATGGGGTACTTACAGGCCTGGATATTTCTTCTCCTGGCATGACCGGGCATAAGCAAGGCCATGGATCTTCAGGTACAGTCACATTTTAGGATTCTATCCCAGGGTTGCCAATTCTTGAAAAGCCACTAGATGGTGACAAAGTGTTAATCTTTCCAGCTCTCTGTCGCTAACTTGTGATCCACTGGAGTTTTGCAGCTTCTCAGGATAGTCCTAACCAAATTGTTCTTAATCTCTTTTATATAGTTGATTTATACATTTTCAATTAACATACATGAGTGTTTTGTGAACAGTATATTGTCCAGGTCAATTGCTTACATAATATTTTCCCAGCTCCTAATTTTTACTTCTATTGTCCAGCCATTTATAACACAAATCCCATATTTGAAAATATTCTGTATCTTCCTTCTCTTTTATCTTCAATGTCAGAATATCCATTTCTGTGCAATCTAATATTTTTTAAATTACATCTTCTTCTCCTGGAGTTTCCTCATTTTTCCAATACTGTGCAAATGCAATTCTTGCTGCTGTCAAGACGTGCAATATTAAATCCAAGTTCCCTTTATTATACCTTTCTGGTACTATCCCTAACAAAACATTGGTATTTCCTGCAGCTCTTTATTGCTACCTTGCTACCCTGGAGTTTTGCAGTTTGCTCAGGATAATCCTAACTAAATGGCTCTGAGTCTAAGGAGAGGGAGCATTGGGGTGTAGAGACCAGACTAGCCACCTCCTTAGCAAGACATGATGGGGTACACTGAGAATGGGGTGGCTCCTTTTTCCTTCTGTGATGACCCAAAGGGGTGTGGCACAAAGGCAACACAGTCGGCTAATCAGTAGGAGTTTCCTTATTAGCTCCAACTTTGCCCCCAATGTCCTGGTTACCTTCAAGTCCAAAACACAGTCAACAAAAACTGTAACTATAAGTCCAATCAAGTCAAGATGAGGTAATTAGTTTGGCAGGGCAGGAGCAAGAATTCCAGATGTGAAGGCACAGCAATAACTCAACACATTGGCAATAACTTGGCGTTGGGAAGACGCCAAGAACGCAGATAAGCAAAATCAACACAAGACAAACTCATGTTTGCTCCCAACAGCGTGCTGCACTCAGCATACATTTCTTTTAAACTTTCATTCCCAGGTGTGGCTAATGAAGGGAATCAGGGCCCTTTCCTCCCCCATAAGCCACGCAACCCACGTTGCTCTCTTCTCCGTTCCTCCCTGTGTGTCCTAGGATGAAGAGGGGGTGGGCCTGGGTCTTCCTCTGAACTCCCTCTCCCTTGTTCTACCTCTTCCCTGCTCTGCCCATCCGGATGTTGCCCTTCCCCAGCCTCCTCCACAACCAACGGAGACACACTCCCACTCCCTGTCAGCTGTTTGTCTTCCTCCTCGGATTCAGACTCCGACAGAGGCATGACACCTTTTCTGTCCAACCAGCAGAACGTGACGAACTCCGGGAGTTGTTCAATGAAATTAGCAGCAGCAGCAGCGACGAAGACGAGAGGGATCATCACGACGATGAAGATCTGAACGTGATGGATACGGAGGAAGACTTGGAGAGGAGGCTGCAGGGCAAGCTGAACGAATCCAGCTCCCAGCAGCAAGAGAACGAAGGAAGCAGCCAAATCGGTGGGGAAGGAAGCTGCGCTGCGGGGGCTGAGGTGATTTGGGGCGGTCCTTGGGGGGCAGCCCTGGGTTTATTATTTCTCTCTTTGTAGCCATTGGAATCCAAAAGCAAATCGACAACCTGAAGGGCAAGCTGCAGGAGACTCAGGAGCGCAGGAAACGCCAAGAAGACCTCATCATGAAAGTGGAGAACCTGGCACTCAAGGTGACACTGGAATTGATTGATTTTTTTTTTATCCCACCTTTATTCTTGTCTAGAAACTCCAGGTAGCGAACGTCCCTAATACTTCGTCCTCTTCCTGTTTTTCCCAGAACAGCAACCCTTTGAGGGAGTGGGTTGTGCTAGGAGAGGGAGGACTGACCCAAGACCACCCAGCCATCTTTCATGCCTAAGGCAGACTAGAACTCCCCAGCTCCTGGTGATTGGCACAAAGTTACCCAGCTGGCTTTCGTGCTTAAGACAGGCCTAGAGCTCACCGTCTCCTGGTTTCTAAGCCATCACCTTAACCCCTAGACCCATGATGGCGAACCTATGGCAGAGCCATTTGTGCCGGCATGCGAGCTGCTGGCAAACTTATCTCACTGCACATGTGTGGGCCTCACAGCTGATTTTCGGCGGGTTTGAGGCCTTTTTCAGCCTCCCAGAGTCTTGAGGAAGGCTTCTGCAGGCTTTGCTGGCCGAAAATTAGCCCCGTTTCGTCACTTCCGGTATTTTTTGGAAAAACAGGAAGTGACGAAACGGGGCTAATTTTCGGCCAGCAAAGCCTGCAGAAGCCTTCCTCAAGCCTCTGGGAGGCTGAAAAAGGCCTCAAACTGGCTGAAAATCAGCCGTGAGGCGCAGGTAAGGGGGCAGCAGGGAGGAGGATTGCGCGCACATGTGTAGGCGGGCGTGGGGGGTGCACATTGCCTTCTGGGTGCTGGCACGCTAGTGTGCAAGCGCGTGCGCAATTTTTGGCACTGGAGCCCAAAAAGGTTAGTTAGCCATCACTGCCCTAGACCAAGACTGGCGTCTGTTTTCACTCTAGATGGATACCGCCTTACTATGGCTGGAATTGGAAAGAATAATTTAGATTCTCCCAGGAATTCAAGGCTGCCTGCCTAGGCCCCTCCTTCCATTTGAAACCCATATCACAGCCTTGTGAGAACAACGGGTCCTAAGTCACCCAGTCCGTTTCAGCGATGCTGGGTTTGAATCTCTACCTCCCAAATTCTAGCGGCAGTAGCTTAAATTCAGCCGCTCATGGGGTCTCTCTGCCAGAAGGCATCTACTTGAGAAAAGAAAGCTTATCTCTCCAGGATATATAATAGCAAAATAGTAAAGCAGATGTTTGAACGAATTTCCTAGGTCCAAATCTTGGCTTTTCCAGGTAAAAGGAAAAAAAATCCTTTGGTTTATCCGGGTAGTTTTTTCCCCCCACTCTGAAATCTTTTCTATGTGAAAGTTCTAAAGTTCCAGTAAGTCTACAGTAGGCCCTACTGGATAGACAAAATAACTTGGTTACAATCCAGTTTCCTCTGTCCAGAAAGTCCACATTAAGTATAAGTTCATTTTCTAGCCAGTGAAGAGGAAAGGAAGGGATTAAGCACTTTGTACGAGGGAAGAAATTGAGCACTGCTCTCTTCCTTTTGTTTTGGGGGGCCATTTAACTCTGCTTTGTAGCACATGGCATCTCTAGAGGGAGTTTGTAGATTCTTCCTCTTAGGGCTGGGGCAGACTGGGGTACACCCTGTATTAAGGTCTTGGGATTTAAGAGCCAACCAGCAGTGAGGCTGATGCAATATTGGCTGATGCAACAAGGATGAATCAGCATAGCATTAGTACTGCCCCTTTAAGACTGGGGATGAGTTCTACCCCTTTAAGACTGGGGATGAGTTCTACCCCTTT